GTGTGATGTCGTACTTGACATGCGCGACAGGCGTGTTGTATTGTATGGCGTTGTACACCAATGTCGTGGCCTTCGTCGCCTTCAGAGCACGCTTGCCGTCTTCGTAGGTTGCCATCGTGTCCGTGACGTCCCGTTTCATGGCAGACCATCTCAGGAAGATTGTCGTTTTGTGCGTCGTCTTGCTGGTCCTTGTGGTCATCGTCCTCTTGCACCTGTCTGGTTTGCTGCGCGGCCGTGCGAGGACAAAAAAGCGGAGGTTGCCGAACACGACATCGCATAGGAAGACGGCAGGAATCATGGCAGGTGCGAACGGGCATGAGAGGTACACGTACGGCATGGGAGCAGGGCCGATGTTCGGTGATGGGAACGAAGCCCCAATCCGGTTCGACCCCAGTCTTTACGCCCATCTGCCACCCCATCAGCAGTCGCTGCCTGATGACGACACTTGGGCGCCCCCCTCTGCCACGTTGCCATTAGCGTACGGATCCACGCAGTCAATGTCGGAGGGTGCACGAACAATGATGCGGGGTGCTGCCAGCGAAGGAGCAATGGAATCGCTCCTGTATTCTGACGGCCGACATGGGATGTGCCCGCCGTTGGATCTTCAATTATCCTCCGAGGGCCAGAGAGCAGTCACGCACACTGTTCTCGTCGATCACCCCAGCCAATCCATCGGCGACCCATCGGTCAGTGTGCAGGGAGGTCGCGGCAGTCGCAGTCATGCGAGCCATGCAGGACCGGCTACGACCATGTACAGAGTCGGTTGTGGCCAGCAATCAGAGTTCAGTCCAGCAGTCGGGGGTCCATCAGGTGCGGCTGCGGGGGTGCAACGAACCGGGCGATCAGCGAGTTTGCCATCAACGATGCGCTGTGTGGAGAGAATCATTGCTCGAGTTTCTACGATGCGGGCAACGAGTGATGGGGAGCGTGAAGTAGAGGTTGACGACTACGGAGATGGTGCGGGCAATGGAGACGACATGGATGACGTGGAAGGCGACACAGAGGACGAGCCGTCCTTGCAACCCGGTGCTCGAAACACAGGAGGTGGAGCACAAACCGGGGCTGGGAGGGTTAGAGGAAAGGGACACACAAGGGTGGTCGGTGCGGAGGGAGGAGGCGGGACAAGTGTCGGCCGCACCTATTGGAGTCTGGACGAGTCCTTGTCCTGGTGCGGTGCAAGAGGGATTACGACGAGGCGATGGCAGCCGCATGGTCTAATTTTGCTAGAATGAAAAACAAGGAGTAGAAGTGGACGGACATCACCAAAAGGATGTTCGCATAAGGGGTCGTGAAGGAGTGGGATGCGTGCATGAAGCATTGGGAGAATGTGATTGGGTGGTACAAGAAAGTTTTCGACAGGGAGAAGGATTCGGGTGTGCAGTTTTTTTTTAGACCCACTCCTAAACAACGGGCTGACAAAGGATACAAGTTTCAGATGGACCGACGGTTGTATCAAGCGATCGCTGCAATGTAGAGCAAAAGCCAAATGGTCAATCCTTTCGGATTGGAATTCGCGACAATCCGTCGGCTACTTGGTTCTTAGCCCCCGAAATTCTCTTAACCTTGTAGTCATACAGCCTGGTGTGGATCATTCATCTGGCTATTGTTGGGTCCGTTAGGGAAAAATCTTTTTGAAGCACGACTGTCACCACGGCCGGGTCTACTCGAAGGAGAAATTTCCTTCCGTAAATGTAATGCCTAAAGGCCTTTAGACAATGCAACACTCCCAACATTTCCTTCTTGAATTGACTATAGTTTCTCTCCATAGTGTTGAGCGCCCTACTCTCAAACCTTAAAGGCCGCTCCTTCCCTTCTTCGTCCTTTTGGGACATGAGTCCCCCTACCGAAAAGGGTCCTTCACCCATTGATACTATAAATGGCCTATGCTCTTCATCATCAAAGAAGGGCACACCTAGCACTTAGCCTCCTTCGCGGAACTCTTCCTTGAGGGTTTCCATCGCCTTTTCCTGGTTTTCTCCCCAATCCCACTTCTCGGCTCTGTGGAGCAACTTTCGGAGGGGCTCCGCTTTGTCACTGTAGGCCTTTATGAAGATGCGCCAATAGCCCACAACCCCTAGAAATTGTTGTACCTCAGTGATCGATTTTAGGGGAGATAGCCATAGGATTAGCTTCTCCAGCTTAGCGGGATCCG